GCCCGCCGCGCCATGGCCCGAAGACCCCGGCACAGGTAACGGGGGCCGGGCGGGCGGCGAGGGCGGGGGCGCGCGGGGCGCCGCACGCCTGCGGGCAGGTGGGGATTCGCTCCCGGATCTGCTGCCGGGCTGTCAGATCCTGCAGGACCCGGAGCCCCTGCCTGCTCCGCGGAAATCGCTGGAGGGCCACATGAATGGGAGCCTCCGCGGGAAGCGCAGCAGGACCCTAGGAAGCGTGCCCTGCGGCTCATTTTGCAAGTTGCTAGGGGATCCCTTTCTCTTTGGGGAGGAAAAAGCTGCCAGTTCCAGCGTGGGGGAGGGGGGTCAGAGCGGTGCCCACCAGCCCCGGGGAGCCCACCAGGTGCCTGGCTTGTTGCCGCGGTGTCCGGCGGGGAGTCGCAGCCTAATTGCTGGATGCATTGAGATACGTTTGGATTTGGAAGTGCCGAGCATATGGCAGATACAGGAAAAAATGCCGGACTGTTTAGTAGCTGCAGGTAGTTCATTTCAATTTCATTCATTCTTCATGGAGGCCGGGGTGCGTGGCCGCTGACAGGCGGCTGAAAAGAAGATTTTAGGGGAGGAATAGGGTTTTCAAATTGTTTTAAGCCTCGGTTTGGAAGGTTCAACTCATTCTCTGGGAGGCTTTTATTTCTACTGCAGACCCTGCATGTGCACCCACGCGCCCCCGCGCCGCGCCTGTCACGGCACTTGGGAAGGCTCGCCGGGATGACGGGCGAGGGGTCCCTTTATGTTTTGGCCCCGCTTTTGGAAAGGAGCGCAGACGGAGGGAAATACTCGTCGGAACTGTCAATTGTTGGCAGTTCTGCTTGCCCTGGCCCTTGGATTGCCTGAGCGCGACATGCTGCGACTCACTGCGAGCGCCGGGTGCAGGCGCAGCCTCGCTGGCTGTGGTGGTCGCTGCCGCCCGGAGCAAAGGGACCGAGGCCTGCAGCTCAGCGGTCGCTGCAGTGCAAACCGCACATCACCGCCGCGGGCCGTTGCCCTGAGCCAGAGGTCCTGGCTGGCGCGCACACGTGGACGCGGCTGCTCCTCCCTGCGCCCTGCTTCTGCTGCCTTGGCCGGGCGACCAAACCGACCCTCGCCCAGGGGCTTTGGGGGAAAGTCCCTGGAGGGGAAGCCATCCGCCTGCTTGTCCTCGGGTTGTTTGATTTTCGCGTACTTATTTGCTTTTTGCACGGGCGGGCACTGGTCTCCTTGAGGCGCTGGGAAGTTGCAAAGAGCGTGGGCGTGGGCTCTGCAGCAGCACCCTGGGGCCGGGCTCTGCAGGGCCGGGAGCTGCGCCTGGGCTCGGTGGGGCGGCGGAGAACCAGAGGGGCCACTGCAGGGGACATTGGCTCCTGCGCCTCGCCCTGGGCTGTCGGCTCTAAGAGGGGTGCCGCCCCTTACGAGGTTTCACCTTTCGCCTTGGAGACTTAGCTGGAGAGCACTGGGGTCACCTGTTTGGTGGCGAGCAGAGGGAGGAGGCGCTACGAGGGAGCGGCGAGGCTCTGCGCCCAAAGTCGCTGGTGCTCCCGCGGGGCGGGGCCGCGCAGGTTCCCTGCGGCTCCCAGGTAGCCCCGAAAGGAGACGGCGGGGAGGGGTGGGAGCCTTGAACCTGGCTCAGGGGGAAGAGAAACCCGGCTGCGGGCTCCGAGCCGTTTCTTGCTGGGCAAGCGTCAGCTCGGCAGGGATTATTAACCAGGTCAGCGAAATGAGTCTGAACCCCTTTTCTAGAATCACAGTAGCGGCCGCAAGGCACTTCCTCCCGCTCCCCCCACTTCCCAACCCCCTCCCCAGCACTTTTTTTTTTTCTTTATCGTTTCTTTGCACGGTTTGTTTCCTTGACAGAAGGTAATATTCATAGTTGTACTCTTGTAACCACACCGGGTCTAGCAGGTGGAGGAGTCAAGTGCATCAAGCCTGAAATCAGTCTTTGAAAGTCCTTTGACTGTTGGGTGTGAGATCTTGTCAGTGCAGATAAAGGAAAAATTATTTCAGGTCCTCAGTAGAAATTAATCATGCTACTCAGGCGACCAGAACGCCGCAGAACAAGGCAATAGCATGCACAGCTCAAAGGCGAGCCCCGAGCCGAGCCGGCTGGTAGCGAGCAACCCTGGACTCACCCTGCAGCCCTCACGGCCCCTTCAGGACTTGCAGGAGTCACGAGCCACATTTTCCCCAAGACCTTGGTTTTGCACCAAGACCTTTCCCCAGACCTTGGTCTGTGCCTTTGCTTAAGTTTGAAGAGGCGCGGAAGACGTGGAAGCAGCATTTGCGCGCGCTGGAAAGTACCTTAGAGATGGAATCCAAGCCCTTGTGCATAAGCTAGAAACCAGGGTCCCAAGACAGAGGAAGTGATTTGTCTAAGTCACACAGTTAGGTAGAGGGCGGACGAGCCCAGGCACCTTTGCTTCCAGAGTCCTGGTCCTGGCCAATTCTTCCTGGTCTTTCTCACCTGACGGTGGCTGCCCCCTGTGGGCGGCTGCTTGTGTCGCTTGTTCTAGGTTAAGCTGTTACTAAGAGTAAGGTGCCCAATTACTAGTTATGGAAAATGTCGCCCACAGTTCTAAAAATGTGATCTCTAGTTCTAGCCAAACCTAAAAAGTTAATTTGAGTTGAATCTATGTCTCCAATTTCAGATTCTTTCGGTTTTCTTGGGTATCCTTGATGCTTCATACGGGGCTATTCCATTTGGGGCTTTTCTCAGGAGTTCTCTGATGACTGAAAGATGTTTACAGTTCTTTGCTTATAGTAGCTTTGTATATTACAGGGAAAGTATTGTTATCGATGAATTTCTTTGCTGCCTTTTGTTTATAGTGTAAAACAACATAGGACCTTGTTTCAAAGGGTAGACATGGAATGGAAAATGATTACAGACTATGGGCGGTTTATTGGGGGGCTTTATTGGCTGTTGTTTGGGGTGGCGATGTTTGAAGTGCAGATCACATCTAGTGTCCATGCATTCTGGACCATCAGACTGTTGCTCAAAATAATAGTTTTAAACTTTTAAGAACCTCAGTTCAGGATTTACCAAGCACTTTTGATTTGTAAGTGGTTTGTAACATGCACTTGTGGGTTATTTTGAAAAGAAAAACTTATTATGAATATACATCTCCTCTTTAAAAATAATCATTTGGGGCCGGGGAGATAGCTCAGTAGAATAAGCCCTTGCCTGGCAAGCACAGGGTCCTGAATTCAATCCCCAGTACCACAAATAAATAAATAAATATTAAAATAATCATTTGCAATATATATATATATATATATATATATATATTTTCCAGAACCAGGGATTGAACTCAGGTTCTTGCACTTGCCAGGCCAAGTGCTTACTTATTCCACTGAGCTATCTCCCTGGCCCCTATAATATTGTTTTATGCCATTATTTTATTCATTTATACTGAGGATTGTCCCCAGGGCCTTCACACTGAATTACATCCCTAGCTTTATTTATTTCTTTAAATTTTGAGGCTGTTCTTGAACTTATAGTCCTCCTGCCTCAGCCTCCCAGAATGTTAGGGTTATAGGCATGTGCCACCATTCCTGGTTTATGCTATTATTTTTAGTTTACCTTAGTTTCATGGCTTTATCAATATCACTGGTAAATTTTAGTGAAGTTTCTAATCTAGCATAATTTTTCATAGCTTGATTTACAAGGACATTTATAACAAATTCCTATAAACTAAAAGTACATTCACATATGTAGTATAGGATTAATAAACCTTAGGGACAGAGTGACTTTAAAACTCATCAAAATGCATATTTTCACTCAACTAGGTAAAAGAAAAAACTATTTTACAAACAGTAATTGGTTCCCCACCACCATGGATTTCTTCTGGGGGAATCCCTAGGTTTTTATTTAGGTAACTTTAAGATGTTAAACACCGTTAAGAGACAGAGAGAAAAAAAAAAAAAAACCAACCAACCAAACAAACAAAAAGAGTAAGTAGGAGTCTATCAAGTGGTCTAATTATTCACTTAGTTATTCTGGAAACAGTATTATTAACTTGGCATAAGTAGTCATCCAGGCCTGGAGTTTTAAAGAATTTGGTATTTATGTTAACTGAAAATTAGTTGGAGAATTGAGGTCTTACCCTCTGTCAGGTGTTAAAATATTTTCCTCCTAGATTCTCCTAATCTTTAAAGGATGACTATCACTGTATTATTGGGTGTATTATTTCTCTCAAGTTTTAAAAATTTAAGTAGAGCACTAACCTCATTAAGACAACATATTGATTTGTTTACTGTGTTTGGGAAATATTACTTAAACAATGTAATGCATGCCAAAGATTTTGAGTGTGCACTTACATAAAGGAGGAGGGTGCGTGTTCCTTTTCTCGTCCTTAACCTTAAGTTTTAAGCTTAAACCCCGATTGGTTGGAAGGTTGCCAGATGTGTAACTTGTCACTGGCCTAACAGTAACAGCAGGTTGAAACATGCACAGCCACAGGAAAGTGCCAGGTCCTTTGCTGTATCTGTGGATACCAATAACAGCAGAACCTGTTTACAGTACTACAGCAACAGAATGCAGAGAACAACCTTGCTGTGCAATGTTTTATCTCCATAGCCTTTGGAAACCTTGCTGTAGAGTTTCTGTATGATTTTTGTAATCCAGTAGTGTAAGTCCCCTTGTTTCAGCCCCCATCTGCCCATTCGTATTTCCACAGCATATACAGCAGCGATGAGGATGATGATGACATTGAGCTGTGTGACCATGATTATGACGGGCTCCTTCCCAAGTCTGGAAAGCGACATTTGGGGAAAACTAGGTGGACCAGGGAAGAGGTAACTAATCATTTGATCAAAACATGGAGAAAAACAGACTGTACTTTACACAAAACCAAAATTCCAGTTATAGGGTCTTGGAGCGCATGGCCCAGCCCACTTAGGCAGTACCTTACCTTTCACCCTGTCCCACACGATCACTGTACAACTGCTTCTAACTTTCCTTGAGTTCTTTGACTGTCCTCCCCATTTCACCTTCTGCCTCATGTGTTTCCTTCTGCCTGTTCATTCTTACGCCCCAACACCTCTTACCTCCTCACTACCTATGAAGACATTGCGCATCCTGCAAGCCACCCTGGCTTCCTCTGACTGGTATGGGTGCATCTTCCTGGGTTCCCATGCCACCGAGAGTATGTTCTGCCTTACTGTTGCTGTGACATATATGTTTCTCCCAGTTGACTGTAAGTCTCTTGAGGGTGGAGCTAATGGTCCTCTAGTGGTGTTCCCGAACCCAGAATTATTTGCTTCAAAGTAGAATATTCATAAGTGGTCTCTGAATGAATGAATAACTTGCTATTTTTCAAACAAACAAACAAAAAAAGTAAGACAAAACACTCCTCGAATTCCTCTCGTATTGACGTCCTTGCTTAGTATTCTCGGTATATAATGTGCTGCAGAACCATATGCAAAAAGTTTAGTTCTCAACACATCCCATAATGGATGAAGGTGTATCTGCTTTTGCCGCTTCCTGCTGGCTTCTCAAAAGCTTGGTCTTTGTAGGAATGGAGAAATCCCTTAGAAGCAAAATTAATAATGTCTGATGAAAAAATTCTTTCTAATCTTCTCAAAATATTTTGCAAGCAACTTTTGAGTGGTTCAATGTTAGAATCAGTGGTATCAACACTCCTTCAGTTTCATGGTGCTGTGCTTCATTTAAACCAGAATCACCCTTAAGAGCAGCCAGGGTGCCTGAGGCACACAGGAAGTGCATATCTCACCCGTGGCATTGTGCCCTTGGTGGATCCCGAAGGACCTAGGAGCTCTGTTGCTAACCCCGGTTCCCTAGTTCTTGTGTCTGTGTTGCACCAGGGCCCTGTACAGGAATGCTTTCACAGAAGCAAAGGAATACAGGTAGAAAGACACATGGCGGGAGAGCGAATAGCCTAATGCTGCCGTATGTGCCGTGGAAATATGAAAGAGCCAATTGCCCATGAATGTTTAGCATCCTCTATGTTCAGATGCACTTGGTCTCCTTTAAGCTGTGGAGAAATCGATACAGAACCTGCATGACTTTATTATAATATACATGCCTTTCAGTTTAAGTATGAAAAGTTACCTTCCTTTTTATATATGGAAGAGGTTGAACTAATTGGAGATTCTTTTTCTTACACAAGATCTTATCTGTTGCCATAGTTAAGTGGCTACTGAGTCTAACATTAGAATTTATTTTCCTCCAAGCAAGTAAAATTCTTAATGATTACCATACGTTAAACACTCAATGTTATTATAAATATCTTGCATAATTACCTCACATAATTCTCAGATAACCCTGTTGATATCAGAATTGCCATTTACAGATGATAATACTCAGGTGTGGAAAGGTAAAATGAAACACTCAACCTTATGTAACTATATAACTAATCAACAATTAAGATTAAAAACTCTACTCTGGGGGCCAGGGAGATGGCTCAGTAGAATAAGCACCTGCCTGGTAAGTGCAAGGGCCTGAGTTCAATCCCCAGTTCTGCCAAAACAAAACAAAAAAAGAAAAACTCTACTCTGATGAAATGAATATATACTCTAAAGCAAACTATTAACATTTACTGTATTAAATAATTTTAAGAGTTTTTTTCTGGATTAGATCATGTGATTGGTTCCCGTGTTCAATGTATCTTGAACGGAATTATTCAGTATATGACTGATACCCTAGGACTGTCTTTAAATGTCTTAGGATGAAAAACTAAAAAAGCTGGTGGAACAGAATGGAACAGACGACTGGAAAGTTATTGCGAATTATCTCCCGGTAAGTTGATAATGTTTTTTCTTTTTGTAAAAGTAAAGCACCTCCCAAAAATTTAAATAAAATATTCCTGGAGATGTTATTAAAGTATTGCATATTTTCTCATCTATAAGAAGTAGCGAGAAAGATGCCCTATCCATAATTTATATCTTTTATTTTATTTATTTATTTTTTTGCGGAACCGGGCATTGAACTCAGGCCCTTGCACTTGCCAGGGAAGTGCTTATTCCACTGAGCCATCTCCCCGGCCCTAGAAACTTTAAAAAAAAAAAAAAACAAACAAAAACTTTTTTAACATGTGAGTAAGGAGGGACAGGTGGGTTCCTTATGTACATGCCTTTCAGTGTCCTGGAGTGTTTTTGCCGCATATTTCCTGTGTGGTTCATGTTCAATAATATCTTCATGTGCTTCTCACATCCCTGTCCTTTCCATGGTACCTACTTGTCTAGAATCGGACAGACGTGCAGTGCCAGCATCGATGGCAGAAAGTTCTAAACCCTGAACTCATCAAGGGTCCTTGGACCAAAGAAGAAGATCAGAGAGTAAGTTCTGTCTTTGTAGATGTGTGAACCACAGTTAAGGCTGTTCTCAAAAGATAGTTGTTGGATGTTCCAGCACCCGAGGATGCAAATGCTATGTGCAAACAGCAATAAAGGGCTCTTTGTCGTATTTCCAAAGAATGAAAGTGGAGATTGACAAGTTTTCTAAAGTTTCTTGTAACAGTGAAGCATGCTTACACTGACTCACTCCATAACATTAAAACACGGGTTATTTTTGTGTTTATCTGAAGGTGATAGAACTTGTACAGAAATACGGTCCGAAACGTTGGTCTGTTATTGCCAAGCACTTGAAAGGGAGAATTGGAAAACAATGTAGGGAGAGGTGGCATAACCACTTGAATCCAGAAGTTAAGAAAACCTCCTGGACAGAAGAGGAAGACAGAATTATTTACCAGGCACACAAGAGACTGGGGAACAGATGGGCAGAAATCGCCAAGCTACTGCCTGGACGGTAATGCTATGTCAAACAATATTTTGATTGGGAGGAGCAGGGGAGTGGGCGTTGAACATTCTGTTTTAAATGTGTGAGTAAACTACATCTCATCAGTTGTTGGCTGTAGCTCCTACAACTGGAAGAGATCTTAGAGTTTACCTGATTGCGGGCTTTTAGGGCTTATTCAGTGGCAAGCCGTGAGCCAGGTCTTTTACCTTTCTTCAGCCTCAGTTTTCTCATGTGCAAAATGGGTAGTGATCAGTGTTAGGCTCACATACAATGAAGGTTGGTGCACTCTGTAAACTACTGGACTCTAAACACAAAAACACCTAGGACAGGTAATTTGTCTTTGTTCTGAGATTATCCCAAATCTTGTCCTTGGTAGCTGGGTCAAGGACCTGCTACCATTTAGGTTTTTATATAATGTCAAAGTAATGCTTGTCTTGTCTTATCATGTCTTGTCTTGTTGAGACAGGGTCTCCCTATGTAGTTCAGCATGGGCTTGAGCTCCCTTTGTAGCCCAGGCTGGTCTCAAACTCGAATTTGCAATGATCTGCCTGCCTCAGCCTCCCAGTGCTGGGATGATAGGCATGTGCCACCAAGCCTTGCTTTTAATGCTTTCTTTTCAATGAGCCAAGCAAGATGGTGACCTTGCGAAGGTCAACTATGGAAGCTCACATCTCACTTACTTTCCTTCCTTATGTAGTGTGTCTATTTTGGAAAAGGGCACAAGTTTTAAGAAAAAAAATATTAAGGATATTTTCATTCTTGACGTTCTTAATCCAAAACAGAGAAAGGGTCATTTCAAAGATGGCTTATATGGCGTCTTCTTGTGATGCATTTCCAAAGTATTTCCTTGCTCATGGTTCAGAAAGCCTAGAAGATTCAGGAGGTTGAGCAAAAGGGGCCTTTTTCTGTGTGCTCTGTGAGGCCATGCTGTTGATTCTTCAAAAAATTAAAGGGACAATTGATTGAACTTCCTCTTTCTTAGCACATATTCATTCCTCCACCCCCATGGAAACAGTATAAAAGGGAGGTTTACATGGTTTTCTTTTTGGGAAGGGGTTGTTTCTTCTTTTTTTATTGAGACCAGAGAGGTCTTGGTAAATAATGTTTGTAGTTCTAGCATCTCCCACCTTGGGGGTCTTTCTTATTCCCACTTTGACCTCCGTCTGGTTATAAGACTAAAGGTTGGTTTTCAAAACGTGGGAGGATTATTTGACTCAAAATTTCTCCCTTGTGCTATAAGAAATGAAGATTGGACAGTGAGGCAGCATCGCTGGCATTCCGAGACTTTATGAGTCCCTGTTTCTAGGCCCTGCCGACCCACACTCATGACAAAATTTTTAGGCCAGCCAGCACTTTAGAGCTGAATTAGTGTTTTGTACCATAAGTGGTCAGAATTGATATCAAGTGTTATTGTACTGAAAATATTCCTTCACCAGGGAAACAAAATGGTGAAAAGATATCAGCATTCACAGAAAACTCCATGCGTTCCCGATTATGTAAGTAAGAGAAAACTGTGGATTTTCACTTAGGTGGTAAGGACCGCATAACTGTAGGGGGTGGAAAAGGTTGAAACAGTTAAAAAGAGAAGACTATTAGCGGACCTAGAGCAAAGATGTCGATGAGAAACAGTTTTCTGTCAGTTGCCGCTAATTTGAATTGAATTTTTTGTTTGTAAAACTTTTATGTTTGGCATTTCTGTGCAGAACTGATAATGCTATTAAGAACCACTGGAATTCTACAATGCGTCGGAAGGTGGAACAGGAAGGTTATCTTCAGGAGTCTCCGAAAGCCAGCCAGCCAACAGTGGCCGCAAGTTTCCAGAAGAATAATCCTTTGATGGGTTTTGCTCATGCGCCACCGTCTCAGCTCCCTCCAACTGGCCAGCCCTCGGTTAACAATGACTATTCTTATTACCACATTTCTGAGGCCCAGAATGTAAGCCATTCCCAAGAATCCAGTCTAATGAAAGAGATAGTTACTTAGATCCAGGCAGCTGTGCTTTGCAGCTGTATACTTGTAGAGAGCTTTCACAAGCCGGGTCATGACTGAACTCCTGTACCCTTTGGAGTAGATAGGACTAGATGTGATTGTTCCCAATTTAAGGATATAGAAATGAGGATTGCAAGTGACTTGCTCAGGATTACACAACTCAGAGAACTAGAGCTGGGGACAAGCCAAACTTTGATTCTAACTTGCTGCACCAAATTTGATTTTTTTTTTTTTTTCCAGTACTGGGGATTGAACTCAGGATCTTGCACTTGCCAGGCAAGCACTTATTCTACTGAGCTATTATCTCCCCCGCCCCCCAAATTTGATTTAAAGTTAAGATTTGTTTTGTTCTATAGCCATATTGGGGTTGATCCTAGGACCTAGGACCCTGCAAATGCCACTGAGCTCCGTAATGAACCCCAGCCCTAAACTTATCTTTTTTTTTTTTTTTTTTTTGCAGAACTGGGGATTGAACTCAGGCCCTTGTGCTTGCCAAGGAAGCACTTTTTCCACTGAGCCATCTCCCCGGCCCCTAAACTTATCTTTTAAATATAAATTTACTTAAAGTACTGCTAAAGAAAAGTGGGAGACAGGAGATAACATTTTTAGTCTAATATTTTTATCTTCCAAAGTAGAAAATAAATGCAATGTTACATTTAAAGAGGAGATACTAGTTTGAAGCTAAAACTCAGTGGATGACTATAGGTTCAATCTGGTAGGGATCTAGCAGCAGTAATTTTATTCATTCTGTGTTTAGTTTCCTTCGTGTTTGTGGTACTGGATTAAACCCAGGACCTTTGTACTGAATTACATCTCTAGCCTATTTTTTTGTTTTGAGACTCAGCTCAAACTCATGGTCCTTTTGCCTTAGCCCACACAGCGCTGAGGCAGGTGTCGCTCCATGACGAGCAGGGCTGTGTGATGCTAACTGTCTTATGTCTTTTGTTTTTCTCCTTTGGATTGGTGTGATTCCTTCTTCATTTCTAGACATTTATATCTAGGGAAGTAGGTGATATATAGTGGATAGAAAAGAAGCATAAAGAGGAAAAAAATCAAGAGACATTAATCTCAAAACTAGCAATAATGTATGATGAAATTTACCCAATAATATAGAACTCATATGCAAATATCATGCAAAACATATTTATACATAGTTTTTACTTTTCTGTATCCGTTCCATGGATTTGACTACAGATTTGCCAAAAAGGACTTAGGTGAATGAATTATCATAGAAGGTTCTGTGTTTTATATTAAAACTCATAATTATTCCAAGAAAAATAATCTTAGTTACAGACAGCAAATACTATCAGGTTTCCATTCAGACTTCTTTCATATATTATGAATGCATTTTAAGATTATATTCTCCATTGTGTGTGTGTGTTTTTTTTCTAATTAAGGAACAAGTCCTGTCAGGACAGATGAGTACTCTAAATTTCTTTCACTATGTTGCTTTAGCTATTTAGTCAGTTATAAAGGCTTGGCTAAATTTCAAATTAGTTTTTTTTTTTTAATTACTTAGTGAATTTTATCACTAAAGTACTTTCTCCCCCCAGTCACAGAACAAAAGCTCAGGAAGCCAAATCCCCTAAAGCATGTGCACCCATGCCTGACGTGGCCTTTGTTTTGCTTTGCCGTCTAGGTCTCCAGCCACGTTCCGTATCCTGTAGCGTTACATGTAAATATAGTCAATGTTCCTCAGCCTGCTGCGGCAGCCATTCAGGTGAGAGCGCGTTGGGAAGCAGCTTATAAGCTGAGCGAGGTGCCACTTTTAGGAAATGCTTTGAAGCAAAGATACTTTCACCTGACTTGTAGAAAATGGGGTGGAGTGTGGCGATCTACCAGTGGGCTTCTAGAGTGAGTTCGCAGGGGATTTTTTGATGCTCCTGTGTTGTAAATTGAAATAACTCAGTAGTTAGTACCCACGCTTGCCTCTGATTTCCCACTGCTGTCTTCAGTCCAGAATAACACTCAGAATGTTTTCACTGGTGGCGAAGTTAAGTCAGTGTTGGTTTGGTGCCCCAAGCTCCTTGGGCGCTGGGTGGTTTGGGAAGACCACAGGTCACTTGTATTTACAGCCTCCAATCAGATCTTTGTCTTTCTTCCCTTAACTTGTAATTCCAGAGACACTATAATGATGAAGACCCTGAAAAGGAAAAGCGAATAAAGGAATTAGAGTTGCTCCTAATGTCCACTGAGAATGAGCTAAAAGGACAGCAGGCATTACCAGTAAGCATGTCACCGGATCCTCGGACAGGGCTGCAGCTTTATCACAAAGCTTTTCTCTATCTCTTTTTGTTTTTTTCAGTACCTGGGATTGAACTTAGGACCCTGTGCTTGCCAGGCAGGCGCTTATTCTACTGAGCTATCTCTCTGGCCCTCTTCTCTTCTCTTCTAAATGTTACACCACCAAAGCATTATATATCCACTAAACACAAGAAGTTGCTAGTAATGAAATATAGTTGCTATGAAAATGTATGTGCAGAGGGCTGGCCAAATAGCTCAGTGGATTAAAGCACCTGCAAGCAGGCCCAGGAGCCGGGGGTTCGATTCCCGAGCCTGCTGTACTGGCCCCACCCCCAGGGTGGGCTGAGACTGGGCGCCTGTAATCCCAGCTTTTGGGAGGCTGTAAACAGGCAGATCTCTAGGAGTCTGATCTAGTAGTGAGACCCTGAGCACCCTGTAGACCCTTCCCTAAAATGCAAAAAAAAAAAGTATGAGCAGTTGGAAGTAGTCTTTTTGTGATGCGTCATCCATCTTCCAGGAAGGTAATCAACTCACAGACTAGCAAAGATAAAATTAATGAAAGTCTGTATTTTTTTTTACAAAGTATTATATTTACATGGTGCCTGTGTGATTTTTTTCTATCATTTTCTTGACCTATATCTTTATAATCTTAAATGTGATTGTATATGTATTTAGTATATTTGTATGAATATTATATATTTTGACCACTTCTGCACAAAAAGATTAAATACTGTCTTTGTGCATTTGTGAAAGTTGTGTTGGCCGTTTTTGAATTCTGACTTTTTCTTAGCAATTTAGCAGCAACCTGGCAAAGCAGCTTTGCACTTGCTCCCATTTGTAGTTAACCAAGAAAGTGAATAAAACAGAAGTGATACCCAGTAGGTATTCTTAGGGGTAAATTTCTTCTTTGCTAAATAATAAAATGATTATGTGGACACAGTAGTTCGACCACTGTTTAACTTTAGTTGAAGTTTTGCAATTTCTCCTGTTGCGTGGTCACGCTGTAAGGAGGCTTCTGTTAATTTGCTCTTCTGCTTTCCTAACCACGTTGATTTGCAGCCCCTCGCTGCAATCCGTGGCCTTTGAAAGGGATGGAAGCAGAAATGTGCAGGTGGAGGCAACTCTAGCTCCTGAATCCTGTAGCGGTATAGAAGGTTAGGGTGCACGTGGGACAACGCTTAACACACAGCAAACACTGGTGGACCTTAGGCAAATTATATGCAAGTGGGTTTCTGAGACAGTCAACATTTTGCACTTTGGTGCACCGTCCCCTGATTTGAAACGTTAACAAAATGATAATAAGGTAATCAATCATGTAGGTACAAACCAGGGCACTTTTCAGAAGCATTAGCTTACAATGACTAAAAGGAAACATCTTGACAACTGTCTCACAGGCATAAGTTCTGCATGATGCAACTACTTTTATCTTTCCCCCAACAGCATCTGATACCTTGTGCAACATCATTGCTAAGTTCCTTCTTCCTTTCTTCTCCCCGCGCTTTCCTTATTTCTCCACCCTGCCCCCCCACCCCCCTTCTCAGACACAGAACCACACATGCAGCTACCCCGGGTGGCACAGCACCTCCATCGCCGACCACAGCAGGCCTCATGGAGACGGCGCACCTGTTTCCTGTTTGGGAGAACACCACTCCACTCCCTCTCTGCCGGTGGATCCCGGCTCCCTACCTGAAGAAAGCGCCTCGCCAGCGAGGTGCATGATCGTCCACCAGGGCACCATTCTGGATAATGTTAAGAACCTCCTAGAATTTGCAGAAACACTCCAGTTTATAGATTCTGTAAGTAGAACTGTTAACTCGAGGTAATGCTTCTCGAGGTAATGGAGAAGGAATTAGAACATTCATTTTGCAAATCATTGCCATGTTCTGTAGCAGATGTTATTGGCCTAGTTTCATGTAAAGGTAAAAGCATGATTTTCAGCTTTGGTGAATATGTTTTTTAAGAAATTACATTTTGTGGGCTGCCCAGACAAGGGTAGCTTTCCACACTTTTTCTTCAAAGGGTTGTTTTGTTTTGTTTTGTTTTGTTTTGTTTAATAGTGAGGTTGATGGAGCTTAGGTTATGGGAATGTTGTTGGAGCTACTTGACTAATTTTCCATTTTTCTTCTTTATGCTTACCTTGGATTTTGCTTTGCTTTTGTGGAGAATTGTGTTTACTTGGTGCATACAGCAATTGCTGGGTGTATTTGAAGTAATAGTTCATTGGGAGGCCATGATTTTCCTACAGAATATTGAATATCGATTACTGGTCCATAGAGATAAAATCATCATTAGAGAACAAATTGGAGCTCCTCAGACACTCCCTTAGTTTCTAGGGTAAAAAGCATTTCTTGCATCCCTGTTGGGCAGAGGACTGAAACCACCGCAGTGGCACTCAGAAAGGGCTTCTCTTTGCTGTAGCTTGTGGCCTGGAGGGCGCTCGTAGACCCTGCTAATGCAGGGTAACAGAACAGCTATTACCCCTAAGCTGGAGGAAGTCCAGCACATGGGCTGATGTTTTCCTGGCATTTAGTTTCTCTAGCTCAGAGCTGTGTTTCAGGTGACAACAGCACCCACCTCCTGCATTTCAAAGTTCTGTGCCTCCCACATTGTTTCAGGATACTTCATCATGGTGTGATATCAGCAGTTTTGAATTCTCTGAAGAAGCAGCTTTTGCACCTAGCCAGCATCACTCAGGCAAAGCCCTCCAGCCTCAGCAGACCCAGGGCAAGGGGACCACAGGAGAGTCTAGCCCGAGAGTGAACAAACACGCGTTGGGTGAGGGCTCACTTGACTCACCCAAGGCTTTGCCTCCTGCAAGGCCCAGTGCAATTCCGCTGGTCATTCTTCGAAAAAAGCAGGGCCAGGCCAGCCCCTTAGCCACCGGAAGCTCCAGCTGCTTCTTCTTTGCTGACGTGAGCTGCACAGCTCCCAAGCCTTCCCCTGTCAAAAGCCTGCCCTTCTCTCCCTCGCAGGTAGAACACAGTTTCTGCACAGCTGTTACTACTTTTCAACAGACACCTGAGCCTTAATAATCTAGAAACTAATCCTTTGGAACAAATGACTAATTACTGCTCCCCTCGCTGATTGCACCCCAGTGCTGTATCTAGCTGAGCCGAGTCGTTGCCTGGTAGCAGGCTGGCTGATGATCCTACTGTAATGCTCTTTGTTAACTTTTTGATGGTTTGGAAGACAGTTGCATGATGTGCTTTTGTTTCCTTCCACACTAGAGTTTAACATTTCTGTTCCTTCCTCTTCTCCTGTCTGATTCCCTCTGTTTTAAAATTTTAACATGTTTTCTATACCTCTGTTCATTTATTATATGATTCACTGACCCTGGGTAGGAGAAAACCAAATTATAGTTGTATATCATTTGGATTGCAACTAGAAAATTCAAAGATTGTAATTCAACTTTAATTGGAAATGGAGAGAGAAAGGATGATAAACCAATGCTCGAAGAAAATAATTTTCTATTTCAAAAATAGAAAATAATTTTCTATTTCTTTTTCACTGGCTCTTTGGCGTTGTGTTATGGTGCTTTAATAGTGTATAGTTTTTACCAAAGAATATTCTTATTTAATAATGTGTTTTTAAGGCATGGAAATCATAATACTTGTCAGAGACTTGTATTCCTAAAGTGTTAAAATAATTGAAATTAATAGTGAAACACTTTAAAACATTTTCCAGTTATGTCTTTTGACTTTCAAAATAGCTTTCAATATGAAGAAATGATGCCCTCACCAAAAAGATTGTTTTTTTTTTGGGGGGGGCTGTATTTTCCAAACTGATCTGCAGAATATTAGTTCTGTAAAACTTTACTAGATGCCAGAAAAAGTCTAAATATCCAAATGCATAAGTTTGGGAAACACTGAATCAAAGTTAAAAATTGCTTCAACCACACTAGGTGTGGTGGCACATTCCTACAGTCCCAGTGCTGAGGAGGCTGAAGACAGGAGGATAACACTATGAGTCTGAACTGCATAGTGAGACCCTATACCAAATACATTTTTTAAAAAAATGCTTCTTCGGGGCTGGGGAGATGGCTCAGTGGAATAAGTGCTTCCCTGGCAAGCGCAAGGGCCTGAGTTCAGTTCTCGGTTCCGCAAAAAAAAAAAAAAAAAAAAAATCTTCTTCTCCATAGTACCCCTCAGAACTTATGCTTTGGCTGCTGCTGTTTGGACTTTTTATTTTTGAGGTGAGAATCTCCCTATGTTGCCCAGGCTGGTTTGGAATTCTGGGACCCAAGGTGGCTCCCTCCCTCAGCCTCATGAGTAGCTGAGACTACAGGCATACCACCTTGCCTGAATTCTGTTTTCAATATCTTAATGTGTTTGTGTCTTTCAAGGAAGAGATTATAATGTATGATGTTTCCTAAAATTGTTTTATCTTGGAATCATCTGAGGAACATCTAACCCCCACCCAAACTGTAGTATTATAAGAGATGCAGATTATTTTTGTAATATTTAACATAATGTAATCCTATGTAATAATAATTTGGGTTCATAGATCATTAAAGAGAGAAAAAAGCATGAAAGAAAAATAATTTTCAAAAACCCTTTATTTAAGCTTTTCTAATATTAATAAAGGCCTGTCTCATTCTTTTTAAAAACAGAGTCATTTATTTATTTTTTTATGTATTTGGTACAGGGTCTCACTACACAGCTCAGACTCATAGGGATCCTCCTATTGTCATCCTTTCCAGTGCTGGAATTATAGGGGTGCACCCCCACACCCAGCCTTGGTGGCCTGCGCTGCATGTGGTGCAGGGTATTAAACCCCAGTCCCTGCATTACCTAAGCAGGCGCTTAGTCTGCTGAGCTATCTTGTTGGCCCAACAGTTATTTATTAAGAACATTTTCTTAGGATTTACAAGTCTAGATTTTATTTTTTAGAAATTATGTCCTATGGGCCAGGGACAGAGCTCAGCAATGCAGCGCCTGCCTGGCAAGCACAAGGTCCTGAGTTTGGGGCTGGTGAGATGGCTCAGTGGTCTAAAGCACCTACTTAGAACAAGCTAAGCTAAGCTAAGCAAAGCACAGGACTGCAGTTCAATCCCCCAGCACCACATGCCAGCCAGCCCCGCCCCCTGGTGGGCTGAGCTGGCCACACACACACTAAATAAATAAATAAATAAATAAATAAAAAAGTCCTGAGTTTGATTCCCAGTACCCCCCAAAAGAAATTATACTCCAAATTTTGTATATTCTCTTGAAGTAAAATAATGCCCTCAACGCCACCTCACTGTTAATATCTTTATTATTTTGTGCAATGGGTCAGTAAAACATACTTGCTTGTTATCTAGGTGTGATTTTAAATTAGGCTGAACAAAGAATTGCCATTTAATCTAAGTAATGTTTTTCTTTCTCTTTATGCTCAGTTCCTAAACACTTCTAGTAACCATGAAAACTTAGACTTGGAAGTGCCTTCCTTAACTTCTCCCCCTCTCAATGGTCACAAACTGACTGTTACAACACCATTCCATAGGGAGCAGACTGTGAAAACCCAGAAGGAAAACACCATGTAAGTCTTTGATGCAAGAAAAAAGTATTTACCTTATTTACTTACACTTTATTGATAGAAGATGGTCCCCAAATGTCTGATCCATTTGTGTGTATATAATTTTACCAATTCATTTACATATATTGTGTATATTTCTACAATGACCATGTCTGTCCTGGGAATGTCTAGGTAGATGTAGAAGGAGGGAAGATCAATAAATTACCTTTTGTAGCTCACTCAAAAATTTCCCACATATGCAGAGGTGATTTTCATATAATGTTTCCATCCAGTCTGTCTATTCATTCAATAAGGACTTTTCTTCCCACTGAAAAGATTTTCAGCCTCCTTTCTTTTCTGAGTATAAGCTTCAAATTAAGTTTGAGTACTGTTCTTCATTTGTATTTTTAAACTTCTGTTGCTTTTATAATTTACATACAGATAAGGACCTCTTTTGACATGTCTAGAAATCTTGTATGACTAGAAGCCAAGAGGTGATTAAGTCATCTTTATTTGATAAAGGTTTAACCTATTCGAAGAAAAGGTAGAGAAAAAAATCAGTATGAATTAGGAGAAGCCTTTGAAAGAAATACATTTTGCTAATTTCAAGTATAAATATAAAAATAATTTTGGGAGGCTAATCCTATTTCGTGGTGTGGGCCCCTTTTTAAGGAATAACGTTGATTGGTCAGTGACATTGGCTATCACAATGACTATTGTCATGGTACAGACCTATGAGCACTATCTGGAAAGATGAAAAATATTTTAGAGCTCTTAGTCTTAGAGGTACAATATTTTGAACTGCTCGAAGATATATAATACACATATTATATTTGTCTTAATGAATATATCTGACTAATCAGCATACCCAATTCAGTATCAGTGTCAGACTTTACTGCATTCAGGGGGAAAATATTAAAGTTGATAGAGTAATGTAAGGGACACCTGCCTCTTATATTGACCCACCACTTGTTCTCTTTTTAGTTTTAGAACTCCAACTATCAAGAGATCAATCCTAGAAAGCTCTCCTAGAACTCCTACACCGTTTAAACATGCACTTGCAGCTCAAGAAATTAAATATGGTCCCCTGAAGATGCTAGTAAGTTCTAGGAACTCCTTTGGGTGTAGTTGGCTTATTAGTATGGACAGGAATTTTCCTCTGATGCCAAACTATGTGCTCTTCCCTGCAGCCTCAGACACCCTCTCACCTAGTAGAAGACCTACAGGATGTGATCAAACAGGAATCTGACGAATCTGGCATTGTTGCTGAGTTTCAAGAAAACGGACCGCCCTTACTGAAGAAAATCAAACAAGAGGTAAGCATGAGACCCTTGGAAAGAATGAGCTGTGAGTCCTGCTGCCTTTTCTTCTTCATGCA